GGCAGCCAGACTGCTACCAAGTACTCGGTGATAAGCACTGCTGGGTTGGCACTGGGTGGTGATCAGACTCAAGTGTGTGGAGCACGGGCGATGGAGACAGGATGCCAGGACAGGGAGGGAGAGGGTGACCAGGAGAACATACGTTCCATTGCGCTTTGCTTTCCAGGCAGGACAGACTCGGAAGTGCTCCAGAGTTGGAGAACAGGAAAAGGACACAGGGTGAGTGAAGGAGTCAGTGAGACCGCAGAAACCGGCCCTCTGCTCTGTGGGTGGGACTGGAGCCCAGGATTCTGGGGAGTAGGGAGAACCTGACAGCAGCCTATGCAGAACCAACTCTGCCATGACGGTGACGACGGGCAGGTCGGAGCCCCGAAGTCTCCTTCCAGACACTGCACACATCTGCGCACCGCCCCCACCCCGCCCCGAGGATGGACACCACAGAAGGTGCTGGTGCCTGATGTGCCCGGCTGGGGCAGGGTGGGGGTCTGGGGAGAGAGGTGCAGGGAGTTTAGGAGGATGCTGTGAAGTGCAAGCATTCCTCCCACCCGGGTGCACACCACCTACACGGTGCTGTGCCACTAGTTCCCCTCCCTCCCTCCTGCTCTCCTTCCTTCCCTCCTTCTTTCCTTCCTTCCTTCCTTGTTCCTCCCTCCCTCCCTCTTTCCTTCATTCCCTTGTGGTCTGTGCCTGCTTTTGTTTGTGGCACCGGGGATTGGGTCTGGACCTGGCGCGTGGTCGGCAGGTGCTGTCCCCTCAACCACACCCTCAGGTCCTGGACACACACTTCTTGACTGAATCGTGGAACTCTCCATCGTCTTCTTACATTCAAATAAACATCAAACGGATACAAAATTCTAACCTAAAAAGCAAAGTCTTAACTTGTATCAGTTTTTCTTAAGGAAAGTTTCAAAAGTTATACACAAAGATTTGAGAAGTATCGTGAGGAGGGAAAAGAACAGGGATGGGTGGATGGATGGAAGGACGCACAGGCAGACAGCTAGATGGATAAATGGAACTTAAGGACTTTACATACTTCTTCCCAATGTAAATAATTTATATTATTTACTTGTTTATCACCTATTCTGCTTCTTAGGCAACAACATACATCACACATCAGGCATAATCTAAGCGCTGGGGTATTAGCAGTGAACGAAACAGATTAAAAAAAAAACTCTCCTCATGGAATTTAAATTCTGAGAGAGAGGATTTATTCTCTTCACTAAAAATAAATGAGTAAATTACATAGCAGTGTGAGTACTATAGGGAAAAATACAGCAGAGAAGAAGGAAGTACGAGGGAAATAAGATGGCCAGAGCATTCCTGAGAAGGCGACATTAGAGCACGTGTCCAAGATGGTGACAGAGACAACCCAATGGGCCTCTGGGAGAGAAACGTTCCAGACAGATGAGACAGCCCAGGCAAGGCTGAGGCCGGAACGTGCCTACAGGAGACCCAGAGAACTGAAAGGAGGGAGGTCAAGGTTGTTAGCTCATCCATCTCCAGTGGATAGTAAATGCCCCCGAATACCCCCACGCTAAAGCCTTGGATGCTAGCCTGTGGGGCCACTGGGAAATGTGGAACCCTGAAGAGGTGCAGCCTGGTGGAAGGAAGTTGGGTCCCTGGGTTTCTGCTGGCCAAGAGGACACTGGGACTCCTGCTCCTTCTGTCTCTCCTGGCTCCCGGCTGTGCGACCACATCGACACCATGATGTTCCACCTCGTCACAGGACCCAAGTCACAGGGCCAAGCAACCACGGACTGGAACCTCTGAAAACATGAGTCAAAATAAACCTTTCCTCCTTTAAAGCTGACCAACCTGGTATTCTGTCTCAGCAGCAGAAAGCTGACGAACGCTCCCTGCTGTCCCTTCCGGTCGTGTGGGGAGGGCTGCTGCCCTCGGACACAAGCCATGGCCCTGTCCCATGGCTCTCTCCACCTCATCCTCTGTCCTTGGATTCTGCTAACTTCTCCCCCTTCAGGCCTGGAGGGCAAACTTTAATGAGTGCCAGGGCCACACCAACCCCGAGAGCCTGTACAGTCCTTTGTAAACAGTCAGGCTCCTCCAACTCCCCACTTAACTGTGCCGCCTCATTCCTGGGAGGGCCCTAATTCAGAAATCCAGGGCGGGAGTCCAGGTGGGAGACAGTGGCGGCTGGAACCAGGATGTTGGCAGCGAGAGGACAAGAAGCAGCCCCACTGTGACTTGCTGACAGACTCCTATCAAGTGCGACTCCAGACTCTGACTAAGCTCTGAAGGATGGAGTGTCCTCCACTGGGAATTCACAGCTCAACAGAAAATCAGTCCAAATACACTGGAAGCAGCTCACAGGACAAGGAAGAATACCTCTGGCTGTCAAATACATGCAAAGATCTGTCTTATTATTAATGAAAAAGAATGCAAATTAATATAACAAAGGCTATTTTTTCCTACAAAATTGAAAAAAAAATATGGTCTTGTATCAACTCCCCATGATGTGTGGGTTTTTTTTTTGTACCAGGGATTGAACTCGGGACCTTGCGCTTATGAGGCAGGCGCCAGAACCACTGAGCTAAATCCCCAGCCCTTCCCCATGATGAATATAATCATTATGTACTACTAACATGTAATAATAAAAATAAAAGTTAAAAAAATATGGCGGTTGCTTGAGACCATAATGTTAAGTGAAGTACATCAAGCACACAAGCTCAAATATCACATGGTTTCTCTTATATGAGACCCTCAACACATAAATAGAATGCAAAATAAAAGACAGACAAGAGGAAAAAGGGAGAAAAGTTACTGTAATCCAGCATGAACAATGTATCTAAAGATGCACCTTTATTTAGCGTACTTGTCTTATGTGTTTTATATGGTTTTCTGGCCTATTAGTCTGGCT